AGCAGTATAATATTCTTAAATTTTTCACACTTCATACTATTTCCAGTGTACTGGTGTGGGGACATACTATACTATATTTGTTTCTCCACCCCGTTCCCACTAATGCATAAAAGTAGTCAAGAACTTAGTACCCCACAGATTGTTGGTAGCTTCAAGGTCTACAACGTCAGTGGATCAGCTTTCGAGGTACCACTCAAGTACACTGTCCTAAAAATTTTAGGTATGGGGGCTTATGGCATCGCCTGCAGTTGTCTGGATAATGAGACCGGACAAAAAGTAGCAATCAAAAAATGTCGAGATATATTTCGAGATATTGAAGATGGCAAGCGTGTTTTACGTGAGGTGGCCATGATGCGCTTTTTTAATCACGAAAATTTGTTGAATGTGATTGACATCTTGCCACCGCTGAAGGGGAGCTTCAGCGAATTCAAAGATATTTACGTTGTAACGCCACTTATGGATGTTGACCTCAACGTAGTGTTGCGGTCTCGTCAAACTTTAGAGGAGTCTCACATGCAGTATTTTGTATATCAAACATTACGAGGCCTAAAGTATTTACACAGCGCCAACGTGGCGCACCGGGACCTGAAGCCAGCGAACCTTGTCACGAATATATCCTGTGAACTGAGGCTTATAGACTTTGGCCTAAGCCGTAGCATCGACGTGCCACTCGCCGATCTCACGGATTACGTTATCACTCGCTGGTATCGGCCGCCGGAACTGCTGTTAGAGAACACTAATTATACAACCGCCGTGGATATCTGGTCTGTTGGGTGTATTTTTGCAGAGATGTACAATCGCAGGCCTGTTTTCCCGGGGCGTAATACTATGGATCAGCTGCGACTGATTGCGCAGCACGTGGGCAAGCCACCAGCCAGCATAGTGGAGCACAAGGACGCCCTTGAGAAGCTTAACGGGCTTCCAGAGGGTTGCTTAAACATTCCAAAACTCGTTCCGGGGCTCGCCAGCAGCAAGGATGGGATGGATTTCCTAGCCAAACTGTGGACACTTGACCCGCTTAAACGCCCGAGTGCAGCGGAAATGCTGGCGCACCCGTTTCTTGCTCATCTACACGACGAAGACGATGAACCAAGTTGTCCACAGCCATTTCAGTGGCCATACGAGGGAATGTCGATGAGCGTACTTGATTTACGCAGGGCATTCTGGAAGGAGATCACGGATTTCAACCCGTATTTGTTATCTAGTTGTGAAGGGGTAGCAAACACGGCAGGTGGTCTACTTCATCATCACGGTTACAAAGAGTGCTGAGCGTGAAGATAAACAATCTAACATGTGTGAATATACATTTGTGGTATTAAATTCTAAAGGAGCAGTTTGACTGTTACAATTTTATAATAAACAGTTTTATGATTCTGTGTGTCGTGCGTGTAGAAGCTCTTAGTCTAACAGACGATCACATAGCAATAGTAAAGCAAACAAAAAAGGAAAGTTATTTAAGAAAAAGCTGATATGTCACTTGACAGTCAACACCTGCACTCTTTTACTGCCATATTTGTTGATATTGATTCTTTGGATTTTATGTCCTACTTTGTCAGACAGAGGGCTATATGACACTGCAGCAACTAATTACTCACATATGTGCTGGAGGGGGAAATATTAAATTTTTTTTTTTTGGAGAGGCATACACGAAACAAAAACGCATTTCTTCGATTTATTTTTATTTTACTGCTATGAAAGAAGGAAGTAGAAGTTTTAAAAAGGTCTCGGTTTTTACCTGAAAAAAAGATTCTGTTCCTCATTGTTCCTCGCTTTTTTGCTTTTTTTGGAGTGGGTGTTTTCGAGGGTCTTTTTCTCTTTTTATGAAAATAAACTATAGGGGTATACATATATCATTTTTTTTTACAAATTATGGAAATGGAAAACTATCATTCTGTAAAACAATCACAAATATATGCTGAAATTAGTTTTTCATCATCTTTTTTTGAATGCACATATTGAAAAATCTGTGACACCTAAAAGAAGTTCAAAATTGCATTTTAGATTTTGTTTTAGTGACATTCTATTTTTTTTTAAATGCATATCGTCTATAGCGTATATTTCCTTAACTTAGGGGTGTTTTTCTTTTTACACAAATCTATCAATAATACTTAAAGAGGTGTGTGCGAACGAATAAAATGGTAATAAAAAGGACGATATGGTGCATAATGTTAAGTTTTAGGGTACATTTGTGTTCAATTTATCGTTGTATTGATGAACATGTGCGTCCACGCAAGATAAATGAATGGTATAGAGTGAAATATATTGCTGGGTGCAGCATACGTGAAAGCGCGAAGTGATAGGTTGAAGAGTTGAAATGTCTGAGTAGTAAAAGAGAAAATCTAAAATTTTAGTGTAAGAGTGTGATAATAATCATTATCGTTACTTGCTAGGGAAGGAAAAAAATACATGGGGCGAAATCCATAAATATGCTTAGATGCAAGTGTAGGTCTTTCTAAAACAAGTGGGGTTGACAAAAATAGGAGGGATAAGAACATGAATAAAGAAACAAATATGCAGATCTATTTACTGTAACGCTCACACATGCACTTCCCCCTCCTTTTATGTCCCTTTTTCTCTCCACTTTCAAACGTTTTATATTATTATTATTGTGTTATTCCTATATTTGTTTTATTTTTATTAGTTTTACCTCTTTTTTAAAATTTCTCAATGAAATGTAGTTGAGGATACCATTTTAGTTTTCACTGCATTGTTGCAAACGTAAATATGTGTATGAGTAAGTGGCATATTTTTGTCTGTTATCGTTGTTATTGAATATCTTTAGCCCTTTTTTCTATTTTTACAGTCAAAAGACTAAATCAGGCATGCAGCTGTATGTATATATTTAATAACCACAATTGCAAATATGAATGTAGTCTTGTAATTGTGTGTACAAAAACCTTTATGTTATTGTGCATTTTCTATTACACGTTATATTCACTCACCCTATCAGTACACTTCATCCACAAGTTTTGTAGATGGAAGGCTTAGAGTAGTATTATTCCACCCCACGGAAGAAAAGTACTGCTTCAAGACTTCTCTGTAACGGTAAGGAAAAAAAGGTCGTAATTAAGA